ACTAGGAATGTTACAAAACTGTAAAAACCCGTGGACACGGTAACATGACGATTCTTTAGGTACCCACTTTTATGGGTCTAAGGTTTACCGTTATCGCGGAGTTTGAGTGACTTTCTCAGTACCCTGGATTCTTGAAATTCAAATTTCCCGGCAAAGTAAAAAGTAAAATTTTCCTTGTTTTGGGTCATTAAGTGCTTATAACTTTTTGAAAACTCAATGGATCTTATTGAAACTCTTCCACTTTGTAGTCCTAATTGAGATGCGTCCGTAGATACCAAGATCGTAGGAATCCGTGCCGTCGTTTGGGCTGCAGTCGAATGGCAATCGAATCAATTTTCAAGTTAAGGGAGTTGCCTGTGACTAAGAGTGTCGGCCACCCGTTTGTTATCGGGACTTAAGTAGGACGTCATTTTCCTCGACCGGGGGTGGCTACCGCCACTCTTGATAAGAGTGTCGGCCACCCGTTTGTTATCGGGACTTTAGTAGGACGTCATTTTCCTCGACCGGGGGTGGCTACCGCCACTCTTGATTCCCGTTTGTGACATCCATGAGCCGAATTGTCTTGACTCTCAGTATAAAGGGACTCTTTAAATGGCCGAAGTTTAGGAAACTTGTTTGGCTCAGACGTCACCCGAAGCTCATCATCGACCATGTAGGTAGGTCAACAGCCGAAATTAGGGTGATGACCGTTGCTCCCTTATTATTGTCCATATGGAGCTGTTGAATCCCCGAAAGTAAAAGCTTCCGCCTGTCGCCTAGAGTCCCTTTATACCCAGAGTTAAGACAACTCGATTATCAGCTGACTGGCAGCCGGCCTTGGCTGGCCATGGAGGCCGAAACGAGTGCACCCAAACGAACGATATTGAGGGATAAGGATCAGGAATCCTGCGATGTCTGTCACACAAAAACAACATCAACAAATTGATCAGTTAAAAAGAAAATGAGATTGGTTTGTGAATAATTTCTTAATCTATTTTCATTTTTGACCGATGGAAATAACAATTTACTCTTGATAAACCACAATTAGGTAATATTTTCATTATTCTTGTTCACATTGGAGGTACCGCCATCTTGGTGCACTCGTTTCGGCCTCCATGAGCGAGAACCAATCAGGGTTGGATTTTTTTTTAGGCCACTTTCAGCCCAACCAAAAGTGATCGAGTTGTCTTAACTCTGGGTATAAAGGGACTCTACTGTCGCCAAGAGCCCTAGTAGCCAAAATATTATTTTTAATCCTTATCGAAATAGCAATTTAATATGTATCCAAATAGCTATAAAATAGGGTATAAAATAGCTGAAAGTAGATATAAAACATCCTATCTAAATACCCTATATAGTGCCCTTTTTTTCAACTATAAATACCGTATTTTATAGCTTTCTCTATAGCTATAAAATAGGTATCTGAATAGCTATTTAATAGCATAGAGAAAAAAAGGAGGTGTTTGCATTTCGGGTATCTTGGAATTTTTTGATGACTTGATGACGTAGGTGGGTACAGCGTGAGGTGCGTTGTTAAATTACTTTTGCTGCCCAACAAAAATGGCCGAATCTTAGCAGGATTGACGTCATCTCAACGATGACGTCAGCTCAACAGACGGGAGAAAATCGAGGTGTCGTTGTTAAATTCCCGTAGGATTCTGCGGATTTGGAGGTTAAGTTTTGTTGAAATTTAAGATTTTTAACATTTAAAAATCTTATTAACACCCACATTACTACGAAATTGACGCAATAAACGATTATAAGCAATTGCAAGTCAGTCTGGTGACGAACATGTGGCGAAGAAGTGCGAAAAAATGGCGGTTATGGATGTAAACAATCACATTACAACAATCCAGCAAACTCGGCAGCGGTCCACAGCAGCCGAGAACCTCGCTGAGCTGTTGGGCAGTTTGCTGAGCAGCCATCTTGGAAAACGGGTAAATCCACCAGAATTTACAAACGCTTTCGTTGAGCTCAACGCTCAGCGGGTAATTTTCGTTGGGCAGTTGTGGACTTTAACAACGCATCTGTGAAGAGGACGTCGCTGTACCCAGCTGTACCCACCTACGTCATCAAGTCATCAAAAACTTCCAAGATGCCCGAAATGCAAAACACCTCCTTTTTTTCTCTATGATTTAATAAATAGGTATATGGAAACCTTTTAAAAAGGTATTTTACTTTTGAAAGAGAACCAAAAGTGAGACCTTGAAAATCACAAGGTGGTACTTAAGTGCAATGAAACGTTGCCAAGATTGTGCAACTGTATACGATACATGCAGCAAATCAAAACCATGTAGAGGCGAAACTTTTTTAGCAAAAATTCCCTGGGCTATGCTGATTTTTTTTTTTTTTTTTTTTTTTTTTTTTTTTTTTTTTTTTTTTTTTTTTTTTTTTTTTTTNACTTATCATCTTATGGTTCTCAAGGCTGCAACTAAGAATAGTAAGAAAATTCACTAACATGTTTAGGAAAATACACAATAATTCTTGGGTTTCTTAAATTTGAAGGTTGAATGATGCAATTTATTCCACCCATTTAGTGTTTTAAATTATTCACTTTCCCATAAAGTACATGACTTCCCTTAATTTAATATAGTCCAAAGAAAGTCTTAAAGTCAATAAAGACTTTTTGTGAAAATATTGTCCTCAATATTCTTAAATGATGTAAAGGTGCCGGATTTTGTACGGATATTTTCGGAAGATTAGATGCTAACTGGGAACTGGGTAAATGTAACCCTTGCAACAGGATGAGTATGGCTTGAAAGAAGAAAAAAACGTATTAAATAGCTATAAAATACATATTCTCAAACGGAAATTTTAAACCAAGATAAATGCGCATGGAATATCTTATAGCTATAAAATATGCTATTTGTACGATACCGTATAAAATAACAAAATAAATAGCTTTAAAATAGCCCATCCGGCCGATACCTATTCGATAATCCTATTTTGGCTACTAGGGAGGCCCAAAGACATGAAGACGGAGCGCTCGTATCCTGAGGATACGAGGGCAAAAGCACGGGGAAAAAGTGAAGCTAGGTTCGGCGCTGCGCGCTTGTGTGAGTGTGTAAATGAGCGCGGGAATCCACGGCGGCAAACGGAAATTTGATTTGAACTTGTCCTCTTGATTTTTGCATATTTCTTCCTCGAAACGTATTTTAAATTCCTAAAACGAATATACTAAGAAAGTTCGGTCTGCGTCCTAACATAATATACCTACTTTTGCTCGGTAACAGGCAGTAATCTCAGATAAAGTTAGTTTTTCTTCTGCTCATGGTGGTTCTGCAGGTTCAAACAGGCCGTTACAGTTCTAGATCAACGTTACTCCCAAATGAAATTAATCGGTCGACGACGGACGGAAACTAACCTAGAGTTAAAAAAATATGAGTTTGTACCTGAATTTGGGCAAAAATCAACCTAAAATACTTTGTTTCCGCAATTATTTTAATCAGTTCCCGCCCTATATTTGAATTCAAACTTGTCCCGATTTCGCCGCCAATCCTCTAGCCAATCGTAGAGGTGGTTGAAAAGAAGCTTCATTTTTTGCTTTTATAGCCCTCCCTCCCGCCCTCCGTCTTTATGTCTTTGGGGAGGCCAGTGGAGGGTCTCTTGTCTCTGGTTAGGGCCCAGAAATACAGCCAACCCATGAATTTCAATTATCCAGAACGATTTACTAATACTATTGTTACGAACCGTCGTTTATTAAGCACGTGTTTGACTCAGTTTTTGCATAAATTTACTCAATTTTGCGGAAGGACGCTCATTTCTGTACATTCTTGGCCATCTTGGTTAGAATCGGAACCTGCAGACTGGCAGTGAAATTGTGTGCGTTAGAAGTTGGTTAGATTAGAAGGGTGGCTGCACTTTTGGGCCCTAAGCCCTAAGCGATCTGTCCATAACCTCTCGCTATACAGGTACTCTACGGTTAACAGCAAAATTTCGCGAACTCGTCGGGTTTTTTTCCGTTCTTTGTTGCTTGTTGCTTTTATTCCTTAGGTCGAGCTTAAAATTTTGAATGTTAATGTTCAATTTCAGCTGTGAGGCTTCCAAGTTGCATGAACCGGCTAAAATCTTCGATTTTTGACTAAAGAAATAAGAAACTGTTTACCCTGGATCCGGCCTTTATGAATACACTCGTTGTCATCGGAAATAGAAAAAAAACTTAAGGTGCAAAAAGTGCAGGAAGCGGCAGGGCAAAGACGCACGGCGCTCAGAAGTCAAAAGCGCGGGAAATGACGCTTGGCGTGCAGGGCAACAAGGCGGCGACAGCGCGTCACGGGCCGTGCGCCATTGGTAGACGGCTTCACGTCCAGCGTCACGACGCAGGCTGTGTGAGAGCCTCGTATTCGTCCGTTTGTTTTCATCTCTTGCCCCGCTCTCTTCTCCCCCGTCATGTCCCTCTCCTCTCCTTCGACTCACTCGGTGATCCCTCCGCAGTTCCACGGTTCCGCGCCTAAGGCCTATGACGCAGTGCCCATCTTGACGTGGCAACTACGTATTTGTATTTTTGCCCACTCCGGACGCAGGAAATTCAGTGACGAAGAATACGTAACTGGTTCCTGGTAAGTACACACAGCCGAAGAATAACACAAGTGTGTCATTGGACATGGGTAACCGTTAATAATTCTTGTGATAATTCTTTCCAATTTCGTGATGATTACAGCCATCTCCGAAACATGCTAGATGATAGCCCCATGGCAAGATTAACTGAGGTACAGAAATCATGGCGTCTTGTGGTTGTTATAAAAATAAGATAAAATGCTTTATCTCGGAACTTTGTGCGCGTGTGCCTTTTCCCCCAGTTCCCGGTTCTAACTGTGCGGTGTTCCATTAGATTTGTTCATGCCTTTCGATTTTTAGATTTTCATTAGCGTGTGATTCTGAGCTTCCCTTTTGTTTCAGTGAGGTCTGTGCTGAAGTTCAGCCCCTGGAATTCCGTCCTTCTCTATCTATTGAGTGAAGTGCACTCACAAGGTTGGCTACCTTGAGATGATATTGTGTTACCTACCTCATTTTAGGTTAATTTATTTCTATTTCCTCAAAGAATTTTTCCTTCCGTTACTTCCCGACTCTCGAAGTCGCTGAACTTAAATTTTGTCGTGTTGTTAGATCTGTTTTTTGAAAATATCTCGCCAAATTCCAGACCTACTTTATTTGCACTTGTCCCAGGTAATTGTACCAAGCCTAATTATCAATATTTGTTGTTATGAATCACTTGATCAAGTGGAGTTACTTTACTTATCTGATGAGGTAGGCATTTGGACTTTTCTAGTATGGAACATCACTTTCAATCCTCCATTTTTCTGTATTTGAAGATCTACTTGCTCATAATGATCGAAATTTTGCTTGTCTGGCACTTGTTAACATTACTTAATCATTTTTCAAACCATTGCTGCATCTAACAAGCGAACACTTATCAGCACAGGCCACTGTAGCTTCTTCTTTTGAGTTTCTTTTGTTTCTACATCATTCGTCACACCAGTTCCTACTCAGCACTCTTGGCTAGTGTGTGTTAGTTAATGTTGCGGAGGGAAATTGCTGGGCTAGAAGTAGCGCATGAAAGTGTGAATTTTTGCTTTCCAACAGTTCAGTTTCACCGTTTGAGTTTATCTTATGAGATTTCACAATCTGTAGGATTGAAGTATGATATTTTTGGCTGTAAAGAAACTGAAACTCTCAAGGAAAGCTGTTATTACAACTGGTAACGTAGATCCCCCTAACTCACTTGCCCATGTGCATGTTTGGCAGGTTGCATTCATCATCAGTCTTATTCTCTTTACTCGCTTTCATTAAATAATTTTTCCTTTAATTTAAAACCTGATTTTGTCATACAGACTTGTTTCAATTGATCAAACTTGCCCAGAAATTGAATTGAAAATTTCATGCCCTGAATTAATTTCCTGTTCAAGGCAAAGACATTGAATCACGTAGACCGTGCGTTTGGCTCGGTTTAGTACTGGCGGAGCGAGGCAAGTCTCTCGGAGCCCCATGATGGGTGGGCGGGGAAGGGGAGAGAGCGTGTGTCCCAAGCACTCGAAGAGGCAACGGAGAATTCATGCCCACGCTCGGTTTTTCACAAATATCTCGTTTAGAGTCCATTTTCAGACAAAATTCCTCTGAAGAAAATTTACAGAACACATAATTTTACACCCGATTGGCATTGTTTCATTTTTCCAAGCTAATTATTAACCGAGGAAAAAAGCCTCACAATCCGGCAAAACTTCACTGGAGCCGCTACTGTGCACGCTCAGATGTGCGCAACTGGGACGCACGAACTCATCGATGCGGGTCGGTGCCACCACTCATCACATGCGAATTTTTAAAAGTTGCTTTGCCTTCCGTAACACAGGATGCACGGTCTACGTGATTCAATGCCTTTGGTTCAAGGGAAACCACTTAATTAACTTCTCACCTTACATACGATCCTGTGTGCTTTCGGAAGCTTTGACAAGATAACCTCCAATATTGGAAAGGTAGGCGAAGTTGGAATTGATCACACCTATTAAGATAGTTACAACCATTGCAAATTTTACTCTGATTGAACTAATACTAACTTCTCATACTTGGCCAAGCTGAGAATAGCGTGTCAGAGCCTCTCTCAGATTACTTGCTCTTTTTCGCTGTGTACGCTGAAGAAGGGATCTGAGACAAGAGACCCTCCACTAGCCTCCTAGCGACAGGTGGAAGCTTTTACTTTCGGGGTTTCAACAATTCCTTATGGACAATTATTAGGGAGCAACAGTCATCACCCTAGTTTTGGCTGTTGACCTACCTACATGGTTGACGATGAGCTTCGGGTGACGTCATGAGCCAAACAGGGTTCCCAAACGTCGGCCATTTTCAGCTTGTTTGCAAAACGAATCTGCCAACACGTTGTTAAACATCAACCATGTAAGTAAGTCAACAGTAGAATGCTAAAGTCCCGAAAGTAAAAGCTTCCACAATGGCCAAGATACGAGTGGAGGGTCTTATGTCTCTGGAAGGGATTCTCTAGAGTCAAGCATTCCTTTGAGAGATTCCTTCCTGAGCTCCAAAGGTAGGGTTGACAAAAAATCCTGCTGAATTTCCTTTGAAAACTGTCTGGTGCGAAGTTGGGAGCATAGGTGTTTCCTTTCTGCAGACACTCTGCACTTCACACGCGCAGAAGGATTTTCTGTCAACCCCAGCCTTTTGGGGCAAGACAGAATCTTTTAAACTCAAACAAACTTTAAAGTCCATTTTTTAAAAAGAAAATCTGCACAATTTCTTTTTTTTCTTCCATAGGATAAGAAATTCTAAGTAATAATGACCACAAGGGATGCAGAAAATACAAATAAGGGGAAGTCCATAAATTACGTAAGGCTCTTAGGGGAAGGGGGGGTCTCTAAAGCGTTTACGTGCCTTACAAGAGGGGAAGAGAGGGTACGGCTGAGCCTTACGTAAGCTTTTTAGCTCTTAAAGAAAACGCTAAAATCCATTTTTTGTTAGGTTGATAAGAAAATTCAAGATGAAATGGTGGAAATCAGCAAACCACTGATTGCTGACTGTTCGGAACATGCTCCTGTCATTTCTCTTGATTCTCTTTTCTCCACTCCGTGAGATGATGAGTAGTGACTTCATCCTTGTGTCAACTTTATGCTATCAACTATTCCAAAGGCCACAAAATTCTTCAGTTTTGCTCAGTATTTTTGTTTATTAAACCAATTATATCATTAATATTTCCTGTGAATTTACTTCAAAAATTTAGTTTCACTATTAACAATTTTGGCCTAAAAATTTCATTGTTTCCTATACGAAAACGTAATGCTTAGATCTGTGATAATTGAGAAAAAAAAGGGGGAGAGGGGGGTGGAAGGAGGGTGAGGGATGCCCTAGAGTGCCTCTCAAAGAGGTGAATAGGGGTCTGAAAATGGGGAAAAGGTGCCTTACGTAATTTATGGTATGCAGGACCTTAGATCCAGAAGTTTCTCCGAAGCAAAAGGAGCCCTTTTCAATTGCGTGTGTCAAAATGCAACCCTCACTCTTATTTTATGGGGATAATAATCCTTTGATGTCATGCGCGGCATTTATAACTTTTTAAGGACATAAAGAAATTCTCTAACGTAGTCGCAATCAGTGGAACTCGTGAGCTTGAGGCGAACGCTTTACTGCTGAGCAACACCGAGTGCAGATTACCAGTGAGGAATTTGCCAATATATAAGGCAATTAATGTTCTTTCTTTCACCACTAGAGTGGAGAGTAGAGACGCCTCGGTGACACGCTCCTGTTTACTGATGATCTGCGGCAGGATTTTTTTGTCAACCCTAGCCCTCTGGGCCAAGCAGGAATCTCTGCTAAACTCAAAAGCTGATTCTCTATTTGGCCCATTCAGTAGAAAAGGACAGGTTATATGAAATGGGCCCCAGTATACTCCGTCAAAGTAACACAGCTGGTCTAAGAATGAAACACCTAAATATGGGTTTTCATATTGCAGCTTCTCAGTTTCACCCTAGTAACTCATCAATGCTAAACTTCACACTTTGCAGAAATTGAATCATGATTATTTTTGCCTTGAAGCCCAAATATTTCAGCGAAACTGTTACTGTAATTGGAAATTTCTCTTCACCTTCTTGCCAGTGTGTACATTGGGCAGGTTGCATCTCCACTATACTCTCAGGATTTCGTATCTTTCTTTTTCCATCTAAAACCTGATTCAGTGGCCTGAAGGACCCCGCATGTTCCTTATGGAAAAGTGTGGCCTGTTCGATTTTTCATTTTTTTATTGATTTAAACTCGTATGGTTGCTGATGAAAAGTCATCATTGCACCAACTTCCTACGAGGCACTGTTTTTGCACAGTCCTCGTTTTAAGTTTCAATAATTACTTGAAAAAATGAATGGAGCGACTGAGCGAGGCAATTATGAGTCTGAAAGATCTCTCTATCATTCAGCACCGGCTGAAAGCAAGGAGAAAACCGGAATACCTCAGCAAGTTAAGGTACCACTACAATGGTGAGTGGTAGTTTTTGTTGGATTCCACAAGCCTTTTCGTTTCATCTAGTTTCACCATCCAAATCAGTTCCTTTCCTCTCTCTCCCACTCTCTTCCTTACCACTCACCCACTGGAGTTTTCCCTGTTTAATTGCGGTGCTGCCTTTATGTATTCAAGTAATTACTTTTTGAAACTTAAAATGCGAATATTGCGAAGACCGTGCATCATAGGAAGCTGGCGCAATGATGACTTTTGATTAGCATCCATAAACGTGTTTAAATGAATAACAAATTTGAAAACCAAACAGGGCACACATTCTCAGAGTGTGCAGGGTCCTTTGACTTGTTCGGTCCACATGTAGCCCATACCTTAATTCAAAACTCTATTCCCTATCTAGGTGAACAACTAAAGGAGAAAAAGCACTTCATTTAAGTTCTATCCATACAATTTCATGGACTTGTAGTGAAGTGTCTCATAACTGCAGACCGATGGCACGGAACCAGAAGGTGGCTTTGATTGAATCAACAATCTTTCATCCATTTCCAACCGAAAATGTTTTAACTCTTTGCTTTCTGGATTACATGTTTCATTTTATTTGAAGTAGGTATGTCTGAATCAAAAAGTGCGGCTAACTACCACTGTTATTACGGAGTGCAAAATTTGCTCTTATTATGAAGTAATACTTTCTCCAATATTTGACAATACTGAGAGAATAGCAGGAATACCTAGCGTGATAGCTTAGCCTTGAGTCAATATTTTAACCAAACCGTAGCTTCAAAATTAGAAAATATTCTATGCGTCCAAGCCCTGCTCCAGAGTTGTGTAATTATTAAATTATATTTGGATGACCTAATGGCAACATTGTAAAGTTTTATTTTAATTGAAATGAATGCTCCAATTCCTCTCTACCTCTTTTTCAAGTGGGACCTTTAATCTGCATTAAACAAGTAATCAAGAATTATCTTAAAGATTCCTGAAAATTGAACAACTGTGGGTCATTAAAAAATTATAGACTTTGATTTCATTCTCTGCTGAGCAAAAAGTTAAATATACAAATAAATCATTGAAATAAAAAACTCTACACATAAAGAACCGTAAGGGTTCCTAATTCTGATCGTTAACATGTTTATTTTACGTCTTGTATTCTCACTTTACTACGTAGGTTATTTTTGGGTTCCTCAATTCTCCGTTCGTTTTTTCACATGTCCTATCTACCTCTCTCTCAGTAGCGGTAATCCTATATATTAAAATGCAAAGTTCCGAATCTTTGGGCGTTAACTTTGAGAGAACCACGGGACCGATTTGCCTGATCCTTTTTTTAAATGAAAGCCCCTGCTGAGCTTTAGATTTGCAGGCTGTAATTTGTTTTTCGATTTTTTCAAATTTTCTCCTATAATTTTCTCAAATTTTCTTCAATGTATTAAAACGGAGGTCTGAATCTTTGGACGTTAACTTTGAGAGAACCACCGGACCGATTTGCATGATTTTTGTTTTAAATGAAAGCCTCTGATCTGTAGATTTGCAGGCTGTGATTGTTTTTTCAATTTTCTCAAATTTTCTTACTTTTATCGACGAGTGAAGTTTAGCTGGGCTCGAATTTTCTCCCATTTATTCAGACTAAAGTCCGCATTTTGGGACATTAACTTTGAGAGAACCACCGGACCGATTTGCATGGGGTTTTTTTTAAATGAAAGCTTCTGATCTGTAGATTTGCAGGCTGTAATTTTTTTTCGATTTTCTAATTTTTTTTTTACTTTTATTGACGAGTAAAGTTCAGCTGTTTCGAGCGGTTGTCCGGTCGCTACCTGCTTGCCCTTCCCTAGGTACCCCCCCTCTACGGTCTCAGCCACCCCTCCCGCCACGTTTTTTCGGCAATCTCCGTTTTCTTTCGTATAGCTCTCCTCCCACCAACCTCAAAGAAGAAGGTTTGGGTCGCATCGTCGTTCGTCACTCGCCACCCACATTCCTTCGCAATCCCTCGGCTGCTCCGCTTCACAGCTTCTTGATACCCTGGCATCTTATTCTCTGCGGCTTGGCTGACCCTGACTTATTAACTGCAGTAGTGCGTATCGCTAACGACACGTATTGTTACAAACATTTTATTTATCATTATAAAATAGATTCAACTAATTGCCCTGATTCCAATTAAGCTACTGCACCACCATTGCCAGCTGTGGAAGGCGCCTGGAGCAGCTAGTTGTTAAGTAAAAGACAAAAGCATGTCAAAAATTCCTACTCTTCTTAACTCAAAAGGGGTATGTGCAAAACGGGCCATTTGGAGCTCGAGGCGGATACCTTTGAGACTTGCCCTATTCATTCCCCAAACAATGCCCCATCTTTTTCCAAAGTTTCAAGCCCCCCAAAAATTTTGGGGAAACGCAGCAGGGGGTCAAAGTTAAAAATCAGCAACATTTTTGCGAATTTGTTACTCGAAAACTGAGAAGTTTTGAAAAACGCGGTTTAAACGAACGTTTCTAGTGTGACGAGAGCTTTCAGAAAATATATAACGTCATAGGGTTTAGTCGACTTCAGCTCGAGTTATCGCCTCCGAAGCGGCGGAACGCTAAAAGAAGACCCCATTTTTTTTCACGACCGGGCTGATTTAAGAAAAAAGCCATTTTATTCTTTTGATGAAAAACTGATTTGTTGTTCCTGACTCTCTGTAGCCCCTCCAGCTTCTTATCGCATGCTAGGGAAATGTTTTGGTCGCGAGTTATAAGAGCGGAAAGGAGCGAAGGTCGGGGAAATCGGCTATTTTAAACTGCACGCGGCGACGGACCAGACGACACATGGCAACAGTGCGAGTTCGGCCGACGAGTGTGATTCGCAGAACTGAGTGGGAGGGGCTGTTTTCCTTCCGATCTACGCCGCGCGCGCAGTTTAAAATAGTCGATTTTTCCGACCTTCGCTCCTTTCTGCTCTTATAACTCGCGACCAAAACATTTTCCTAGCATGCGATGAGAAGCTGGGAGAGGCTACAGAGAGTCAGGAACAACATATCAGTTTTTCATCAAAAGAATAAAATGGCTTTTTTTATGTAAATCGGCCCGGTCGTTAAAAAAATGGGGTCTTCTTTTAGCGTTCCGCCACTTCGGAGGCGATAACTCGAGCTGAAGTCGACTAAACCCTATGATGTTATATATTTTCTGAAAGCTCTCATCACGCTAGAAACGTTCGTTTAAACCGCGTTTTTCTAAACTTCTCGGTTTTCGAGTAACAAATTAGCGAAAATGTTGCTGATTTTTAACTTTGACCCCCCCCTGCATCTCCCCAAAGTTGTTGGGGGCCTTGAAACTTCGGGAGAAGATGGGGATTGTTTGGTGAATGAATCGGGCAAGTCTCAAAGGTATATCCGCCTCGAGCCCCAAATGGCCCGCTTTGCACGTACCCCTTTGTGTACACATATTAAGTCTCTCTCTCTCTTGAGTGTACCTAATAATGTTTTATAATTTACATGAAGATTTTTACAGTTTACAACATTTACGAGGTACTTATTTCTCTGGTTGGAAATAGTTTTTGGTGTCGCAGACATTTTCAGAAAAATTATCCATGTCTTTTGTATTATTGGAATCTTTTTGGGCCTTTTGCTTATTATCTCTTTAAAACATACCTTCTTATTTTTTTCCTCCATGAGGAAGTTTTCAAGTCATGTAACTAGGGCCCTGCTTGCTTCGGAAGGTTTCACAATTCATTTTTTGTCTGTTTCATTATGTTTTCATGAGAGTATCCTTAGTATTCTTAGAGCGCAAAAATTCCAGTTCTCCAAGAATTTTATGCAATCCAAAAATAACCTCTCCCAACAAAATTTCTGACCACCCTCCCTCTCTCCTCCAATTTGTTTGACGTGATGACTTTTTTTCTCTCTTCTTCCTTTTGTGACATATCTCCTAAAATCATATGCTATTGAGATAGCCCAAAACGCCAGAACTGTTAAGAAGGTCGATACCTTTCAAAAGAAAATTAGTTTCTCCTACCTCAGGAGAAAATTTCTTCTTTTTCCAAATGATGCTTTAGGACCTGCTTGTGGGTGGCTTGTATGGAGATTTTTCTCCACTTCTTCTTGATACTCAATACTAACGGCTTGAGATCCCTGAAGATCTCTGAACGCCCTTGGATCCCCTCTTCTTGCTCCCCCTCAGTAAAAAGCAGAAAATTGTATCAAAAATTGGGGCACGGGTTTTGTTATGTATTTATGCTGTTATATGCTAATGAACCTGGTTTGAAGGTGACGAAGGTTGCAATAAGAATTGATTTGAAAGTGTGGCATGATTCGAGCTTGTTGATGGATTCTCTAGCGCCTGTTAATGAATTTCCTTGATTACATGATTGAATAGTAATGAGTCGGTGATTCATGGTTTAGTCTCTCTGTTTCATCGTAGTAGCTTTGTTGGTACTGGTGTGGAATTTTCATTGAAAGTTTTTACCACTTTGACCGACTCCAGTGCATGACATGGCTACAGAGTGCAGTTCCTCCTCTCTTTACACAAAAGAGAGAGAAAAAACACTTAGAAGTGGCCTGAACTGCATGTACGACTGGTACTCATTAGAGTTAAAAAAAAATATTTTTGACTCTAATTGTAATTTTTGGAACTTCTCGGCTTTGATTTCCCTGCAAAATGGTGTGGACCCAGCATCATTTCTCCATCTTGTTTACACGAAAGTATGAATGCTTTCGGAAGAAACTGGTGTAGCCAGGATCGTGAAATTCTTCGGCTACTTCAATGCCATCAAAAGCATTTACTTGTAAAATTGTCCTGCCAAGTGAGAAATGACTCAACCCGATAAAATTAGTGATATCAGCTTTAGTGACCGGCAGGTTATTCCCACAACCTGCCTGGCAAAACATGGGCAAAAACGTTGTCTCAACGCTTTTTCTTTGATACAGCGTTGCTTCAATGTTATGGCAGCCGTTTTGCCGGGTGGGAAGGCCCCATTCGATATAAATTCTGAAATTTTTATTTTTTATATGTTTGTAAGGCACAAAATATTTTGGAATATCTGTGGAATAAAACCTTGTGGAAAGAACGTCACGATTGTCTAAGCCAATATTATTAACTTTTTCAAGACAAGTCATCTCTTTTACTTGGTGGGACTACTTTACATGTAAGTGTTTTTGATAAGACATGACCGGTTTTTGTTGATGGATGTATTAGTCTCTTTTTTCCCCTCCGTGAAAAATATCTGGCTGCATCACTGAAAATGATATTGGAGATGACAGATACAATAGGGCGGGCTGCCAGCTTATTTGCGAATCTAGATGATATTCTAAGCATTTTTTTTCCATTGGACAAAAATGCACAGAGGAAAAATCAATTTTGCCGAGGACTTCATTTGTTACTGAAATAGCCCTCTCTCATGTGGCAAATTAATCATTATTTGGACTACATTTTTCAATTAAAACCTAATATTTCTCGCTCATTTTAGAACCAACATTTGTTCCACTAGTTTCCCTAAGTATATATAGGTGCTTTCATGAATGAGCCAGAAATTGTTGTTTCTAATCGCAAAATGTGGTATTTTGGTGGTTGCTTTGCCTTCTCTGCGCCGCAGAATAAATTCCATCAACCTGAGGAATGAGGATGAAAACTTCAATGCTCCTCATGCATACAAGACTTACAACTGGGAGAATATGTTTCAGGGTCATTTCTGCTTGAACTCAGATAACATGCTCTCACCAGACTCAGCAGCACTTCGTTAATGAATTTTTTCAAGCTGACAACTTCAGGTCAAATGAGCAGCAACCTACGATCCCTCCTCCCCATTCCCTACTTTGTCTCTGTTTATTGTCAGTTTTCTATGTTTTGTTGCCCCTTTTTCGAATACTGCATTTCTCGTAGTTTATCAGCTAAGTACTTTGTGTTGTGTGTGACAGTGTACCCTCTACTCTCCTATTTGAAGATTGAAGCTTTCACTGTCTCCAGTTATGCATTTTTATCGTATTCAGTCATTTAACTCTGTCGTTCGCCAGAGGTCAATTTTTGTCAGAAGGTTTTTATGGCTTCGAAAATGTCATTTTTCTGTCTTAAGGCTGTCTGCTCCGAAGTCTGGATATTTCTGACAGGTTACCGTTTGTCTCCCTATTTTTAGTCAAATAATCATTTTACCTATCCCAATTTGTGCTGCTTCATCTTTCATGCTGCTTAAACTCAGTGTAACATAGGCATCAGACAGTCTTTTTGTTGCAAGAAGGGACAGGCCAAATTCATTCAGTTTGTCATGTCAGCTCAGATTTTTTGTTAAGTTTTAATTAAGTTTAATTGTACTGTAATTAATTTTCACTCTTGAGGTTCTTGTTTATTTTCAAAAATGGAGTAGGTATCTAGTTGTGACTTTGAAAGACAGCGATTTTTTTTCATTTGTGTGTTGAAAGGACCTTTTGCCTCTCATGATTAATTTGAATTTTAAGTTATTTTTACATTCTAACAGCGCTGTATTAACCAGTTCAGCTCGGAAGAACGTTACCAATCAGCTTGGCCACACAATATGCTTCTGCTCGTCAGTGCTGTTTTTCAAAAGCCAATGCAATTAGATCCTAGCGAATTTATAAAACCAGGAAACCCATTTTTTCAGTGGGTCGTGTTTAATATATTTGGGAGAATGGAGTCATTTTCATTTTCTTACATGCCCTGTAGAGTTCTAACATGGATGAACAGAGGCAAAATGAAAAACTTCAAAAATAGTGGAACATCAGAATCAACAGGGGGTTGCTGGGCAATTTTTTTTATGATACCTTCAAACAAAAATGATATAGTTACAGCTTCTTGCCCCAAGCTACTTATCTTCTCTTGAATTTTATTTTGTTTGATTTTATCTTGCCTTTATGCAATTTCAGAGGTCTGAAAATGAATGAATGATTGATCTCGTGTAAACCATATTAGTAGAGTTATGTTTTGTTACCTTTGTCTTTAGGGCTCTGTGAGGGAGGTCCCAGGCTATGGACGGGATGGTGGAGGAAAACGGGACAGGAAGCGGTGACCCTTTATCCTCCTCACCCAGTGCAAACACAACTAACGTCGCCACTTCAGTGAGTTAACATTTTTTTTCTTCAATGCAATGTTATTTTATGAAATTCAAAGCTGCCATGCTCCACTTCATAAAAATGCAGAGTAATTGGATAGAGTAGTGGGAAACTATACCATCTCACTTACTTACTTACTTACTTACTAATGGCGCTACAGCCCAAGGATGGGCTTTGGCTTCCAAGACAACGCGTCTCCATCCTACTCTGTCCATGGTCTTTTCCTTCTCGCCTAGTGGCGAGTTGTTTTCTCTAGCTGGTCCCAAGTCTAGGAAAAGGAGGAGAGTTGTGCGTAGGGCTAGCAACCCTACCACGTAAAATCACCCAAGCTGTGAAAACCAAGACTATACCATCTATTTTGTTCTAAAAACAACCACACTGAAGGATCCTGTTTAATGCGTATCATTTGTAGTTTCCCACTTCTGCAGGGAACACGTTTTATGTTTTAAGTTACTTCTCTGTTGAGGGCAAGTGATAAGAAGAATTGAGTTCGATCGAAAAAGGTTGAAAAAAGAGTTTTCGAGAAAAAGAGATGTCGTTTTGTCAAACCAGCTGATTCAATTTTATCTTTTTTGTCCTTAAGAAAGGAGTCTGATGCAGCCATTTTTAAACTAATGAGCCAGAGAAATACTCTTGGTCTCATTTTAAAAATGAGATCTTTAGCTGTCTTATTGACACCATTATTATCTTATTTGCACAAAAATTGATGAAGTTAGAAAATTTTTAGTGAAGGGTATGACTCAACCATCTTCGAGTTTTTGAGGAACATAATTTAAACCCACTTCTCGATGTTCTGATGGAATAGGATACAACTTAAAAGTATAAATGGAGCTCTTGCATGCCGCATGGATTTACAATATTGTTAGTTTTTCTTATGTATTTTGCAGGAAACAAGATGGTGCCTCTGGTTTTCTCTGAAACGAACACCCAAGAAGAAATCTTGAAAGAAGGTCTCTAAGCTACGGTTGTAATAGAGGAGATCAGCCATGTTACAGTGTAAGTCTGACTTTATATCCAGTCAAACACTGTGTACAGATAGGGAACGAATACATCAGCAGGGTTGCTGTGGTTCTAGCTTTGGAGTCTCTCCACAAAGTGGCAACACTGCTAACGTATTTGCACCAATCTGTGCATGAAGTGTTCGGTTGGATATGGAGGCAGACTCGCAGCATCGTGTAGGCAATTTCCTCTATTATGCGTGGTGCTCCTGAACAGGGTTTGTATCGAAGTTGGTCGGGACCGAAAAATTTGAGCCAGAACCTCAAGAGGAGTACTACTAGATACTAAAAACCACCAATTTCGAAATCGGTAATCAAAGCTCCTGGAGAAATAATCGCAATTTTATGACTTTTTTAGACTTTTTTTTGGGGGGGGGGGGGCAGAAGGCCCATGTAGGGCAACTAAATTTTCCCTCGCCCCATTTCTTCCTGTATTGATCTCAATTTTTAGCATGTTATTCTTCGGTGTGAGGTGTGACTTTCCTTTAATTTTCCTTACCACTGGAACCTAATTAAGCATCTCAAAGAAAGCACGAGAATTTAACCTCCGAATTCGAAGAAAAATTGAAAGTATACATGACAACAACGCCTACAACGAGCAAAAAAAGGACGAGAAGTCTATACAATGATGAAAGGCCCTCTGCCAGAAATCAGCTGATCAGGGTGGAAATTGTGGACGGAAAAGTAGTCTTGGGTGTATGTTGTTTTGCTCACACTTTACAGCTTGCAGTTCTAGATTTACTGAATGTCAAGAGAGTAAAAGATGTTTTAAACGCAGCACGTAGAGTTGTTAAGAAACTACGGACGCAGAATGTCATGATTTTTATCAGTAAATTTCAATTATTCAAACCAATTGTGGACTGTGCAACATGCTGGAGCTCTTCACATGACATCCTTTTACTGCAACTGCAACAACACTACTCTTTGGTAAATGTAAGTTTTCATCTAATTGCACAGTGCAATTTGCTCTCTAATTTCACTTTTCAAGTCAGACCTTCTATGAACGGGTTCCAAACCTCGGTCCGCACCCTGGACCGGGTTCGAAGACCCCTGACCCCAGACCCCATGTAATTTTTGAGAGGGTTTGAATCCCTGATTACCAGGAAAATGTTTTGCTCCTGCTGCAACGTTGCCTCAACATTTTGGGTTTGGAGATAACAGGATGGCATGGGCAACATTCTTGATGAATGGATATGAATTTTTAGTATACTAGCTGATTCAGCTCGCTTTGCTCGGCCCCGCACCTAGCCAAAGGTTCCGCCCCTTGGACCCCCGATCACTTGCTTCGCGAGTGATTGTGGCTCGCTCTATTACCTTACCTTTCGCATTTTTAGTAACTTCAATCATTTCATAAACAACACACAAAAACGGATAGCTGTAAGAAACAACAAAACATTTTCACAATGTCTGAAAATTTTGAACAGAACTTCTTAAACATTTTCACTCATGAAAAACTTAAAATCGGTCAATGAGAAGTGATGGCGGTTCCCATCGCCAGCATTACTGCTCTGCAATAAGGGGGAAAATTAGTTGATCCAATCCTTGTAATTGCCAATGAAGTAAATTTCTTGTCGATGGGAATGCACTGTAACTTCAAAATCACTGAACACTGACAAATATGAAAAAAACTGATGGAAATCGGCCCAGTTGAACGCTCAAACGAACTATGACAAAAAATAAAAATTTACATTGTTTAAATGGGAGAATTCGCAACTTTACTTACCACGCAATATAAAAAAACCTGGGTCATATTTTCAGAATCTAAATAGAGCGGGTTCGTCTAAAAACAATGGCTGCAAAAATCATAAAAATCGGTCTGGCAGAACGTTCGAACTAAGCATTACCAGTTATACAGGGTGTTCGAAAAGTCCCCTCCCCCCCCTCTAACTTTTGACCTAATTGAGGTAGAGATTTGAAACTTGGAGGGTGTTCCTAGATCAAAGGGAGCTACTTTTTGACCTCCCCAAAATTTTGGGGGGCCCCATTTTGGGGGGGTTACGGACCCTAACTTTTAATTTTCAAATGGGAAGACCCCCTTTGTGATACCTCGTTCGAAAGAGCATAAAAAAAGAAAATTTTTCGTGCAAACCGGAAGTCATTATCTCAAACCGTTTCAAAATGGCGGCCGGTCAAAGTTCCAAATGGCCGAAAATTGGCACCTGTGCTATTTGCACATGGATTTGCTTGAAACTCGGTATCTGGGGGTATTTTGGCACGAGAAAAACGAATTTGACGTTAGATTTTCAAAAAAACCCTAATTTTTCAAAATGGCGACCGGTTTAGGCTCAAAGTGGCCGAAAATTTGACAAACTCGATTTTATTGCCAATGGATTCACCTGAAATTCGGTATCTAGGGGTATTTTGACCCGAGAATAACGAATTCAACGTTAGATTTTTAAACAAACCCTAATTTTTCAAAATGGCCGCCGATTAAAGTTCAAAATGGTCAACAATTGGCAACCTCGACTTTTTGCCGATGGATTCGCCTGAAACTCGGTATTTGAGGGTATCTGGGTGGGAGACAAACGAATTCGACGTTATTTCACCGAGTTTCAGGCGAATCCATCGGCAAAAAGTCGAGGTTGCCAATTGTTGACCATTTTGAACTTTAATCGGCGGCCATTTTGAAAAATTAGGGTTTGTTTAAAAATCTAACGTTGAATTCGTTATTCTCGGGTCAAAATACCCTTAGATACCGAATTTCAGGTGAATCCATTGGCAATAAAATCGAGTTTGTCAAATTTTCGGCCACTTTGAGCCTTAACCGGTCGCCATTTTGAAAAATTAGGGTTTTTTTGAAAATCTAACGTCAAATTCGTTTTTCTCGTGCCAAAATATCCCCAGATACCGAGTTTCAAGCAAATCCATGTGCAAATAGCACAGGTGCCAATTTTCGGCCATTTGGAACTTTGACCGGCCGCCATTTTGAAACGGTTTGAGATAATGACTTCCGGTTTGCACGAAAAATTTTCTTTTTTTATGCTCTTTCGAACGAGGTATCACAAAGGGGGTCTTCCCATTTGAAAATTAAAAGTTAGGGTCCGTAACCCCCCCAAAATGGGGCCCCCCAAAATTTTGGGGAGGTCAAAAAGTAGCTCCCTTTGATCTAGGAACACCCTCCAAGTTTCAAATCTCTACCTCAATTAGGTCAAAAGTTAGAGGAGGGGGAGGGGACTTTTCGAACACCCTGTACAAATTTAGGAGGTCTTGGAGCTCTTGTATAGATATTTGAATGAACAATGTTAAGCAAATGAAAAAACCAGCATTTGCAGTTGCAGCCAATTGTGTTACTGCACCCAGAAAATGTCAGTAAAATGGCGAAAGGGGAATCTGAATGTTTCAAACGGACAAATTATTATAACGTTTTGTAAAATTACTCATAAATTATGAGAATTCTGCTACACATTCTGCCCAAACGCAATCATTTTATGGTCAAAGCCATAATTTTGAAGTTTGAAACTTGGCAACATCAAAACAAGAGAAAAGAAAAGTTTCCCGGCCATGAAAATTTCAGGAATTTCGCACCTTAACATGGAGAATAATATTCCAAAAATTCGTACCCATTCATCGAAAATGTTGCCCATGCCATCCTGTTATCTCCAATCCCAAAATTTTGAAGTTGAAAACTAGACAACGTTGAAACGGGAGCAAAAAAATTTCCCCAGTCATGAAAATTTTAGGAATGTCACACCTCATACAGAAGAATAACATGTTAAAAATTGAGATCTATCCAAGAAGAAATGGCGCGAGGGAGGAAATTTGTTGCCTTACATGAGCCTTTTTTCCTAAAAGAAGCCTCTAAAACCCCTAAAATCGCGATTATTTCTCCTGGAGCTTGGACAACCGATTACGAAATAGATGGTTTTTGTGGTTCTTGGTATCTAGTGGTGGTCCTCTTGGTGTTCCGGCTCAAATTTTTCGTTCCCGGCCAACTTCGATTTGAACCTCATTCAGGAGCACCGTGTGTCATCTCAACTTCAAGAGCTTTTTTACCTTGGGAATTTAATG